TTGCTGGGCCGACGTTTGGCCTCTATCTCGCCTGGTGGTAAGCGGTTATGCGGCCTATGATGGAGCATGTCTGTCCATAACCAACCTATTCACTCGAGCCTTGAAGATACCCAGGTTGTACCCTTCAGGAAACACAGACTCTAAAAAAGAATACCACTCCTTAGCAGTATGTGGAACATTCACCATGAATCGGTGACGCTTCGCTTATTTTCTTGTGGTACGATGATGGAAAGGACTAGGGGAAATCAAGTTGTGCATAGGTAAGGCTACTTACATTTAAACGAAACCATCCTTTAAGTAAAAGTTACTTAGCGTGATGTAGCACCTAAATTAACCCGTTGCTTATACTGCTAGGTGTCACTTACAGGTTGATAGAAATCAAATGTCGTTAAATGACACTTATAACTACACTTCTGAACACACCTTTTGGCCCACCTTAGAGGGTTTCGATGGCCCCTACCGAAATATGATTGCTAGATTGAACAAAAACTGTTGATACAGTTTTAAACCTGATACATTTTACCATCTATTTCGGTTCCTGATACATTTTACAAATCGGATATGCGCCTTGTTAAAGACAATTGATTTTTGAGTATAAAACATGTTTTACCAAATAAACGTTTAATTTAATAACGCGTGTTGCCTACATGGACATCTACCGCAGCTCTCATACGATTAGGCATAGAGTTTATAAACCGCTCTATGAAATTTTAAGGGATGATCTCCCATTCCTCTTCAACGCAGTTTTCAACTCCTACATCGTCTGGGCAACTGGCTGACGAGCCCTAACACGTCTTTTTAGCTCGTCCCACGTGTGCTCAATGGGGTTCATGTCTGGGCTTCTGGCTGGCCAGTCCATAACTGATGTTTACATCCCGAATCCCTGACGATGCCGGCCACATGGGCTCTTGAATTATCATGCATTAAAAGGAAATTTGGGTCAACATAGCCCGCGTATGGTATTACGTGAGGTTCTAAGCACTCACGAATGTCGAAGCTTTCAGCATTTAATGTTGGCAGCCGTGGTCCTGTAACAATCTCAAGTTGAGTTTTGCCGCTTGCGAATACACCGCCCCAGAAAGTCTATGAGCCACCGCCATAAGCAACCCTCTCTTCTAAGCAGCATTGTGCGAAACGCTTTCCCTTACGTCGGTAGACCTTCTTCCTTCCATCATTGCCATGTAACACAATTTTAGACTCATCAGAAAAGAGTAAACGGCTCCAATCTTGCTGTGTCCAATTTAAATGACTGCGTGCGTAGTTTGGGCCCATTAGCTGGCTTGTGTGGTACCATATCGCGTTCTTTTAATCTTCTCCGAACAGTTCGAGCGCTCACAGATACTACGTGGAAGTCGCGAAGTTGGTTTTGTATCTCAATGGGGGTAAGGTGACGATTTCTCAAGCTGGTCGTCACGATGAATCGATCCTGCCTTTCGGTTGTGACCCGAGATCGTGGCCTTCCTTGGCGATGAACAAAGCCGCCAGTCTCTAGGTACCTCCGATAAACATTTCGGACCGCAGATCGACTTAAGTTGAGCACTCACGTTTCTTTGGCTGTGTCCGGCCTGAATAAGTGCCACAGCTTGGGCGGCGATTTCAGGTGAAGTATCCATAGATTATTGATAGAACCTCACCTTAATGTTAAGAATAAGTAATGTTTGTTGCAAAACCAAAGATATGAATCATTTTTTCAAGAATTAAATCCAAGTAAACCAATAAAACCAAGTTTTCTTAGTATTCGGTTGTTTGATATCAACAAACAGGCTCCAAATTGTCTTTTGTTTCTTTAAATTATGTGTTCGAAATTCAAAAGACTATTGAATGAAATTGTGAATGTGCCAGGTTCAAAACTGCATAAAAACTTTTTGCTCGACCTAATATAAAATTTTAGTTAGGACCAAACGAAACTGAAAATACAAAGTGGGCCAATAGATGTGTCCTGAAGTGTATTTTGGATTATTATTGCACAACGAATTTAAACTAATTAATAAGAAGCCATGTACCAAATATGATAAGAATCCGCTTAACCATTTCTAAGATCTAGCAAAACCAAAAACGTTACCCCAGCAAAATCTCGAATAACTTCGCAACCGATGAAAGATAAATACAAAATAAGGCACAACATTTACTTCATTTAAACAACTAATTTTATAGCTAGTAATTATTTAAATATTCCTATTAGAAAGAAAAAGGTCTGGCTGGGGTAACGTTACCCCAGCAGGAAATGTTTTTGTGAAATAATTAAAAACTATAAGCGCAACAAATTTAAAAATGTGCGCAATAATTACAGAAGCCGCACAACTAATTATCTATAAGATTCAAATGACATTTTCGACAACATCTGGCCTGGGTAACGCACACGGTGGATTCCGTATGTGAGTATAAAGATTGCAAATTTAACTTGCGTGCGTACGCGCACGATACTAATTAGTTTCTTAAGTGTTAAGCTGACCTGATGTGACCGCTTGTTCATCTTAATAAATTATAGTAATCTATGCTGCCATGACATCGTTTTTGCAGCATAATGAAATTCATCGCGAATACAATATGGTCATTTTAATAAATTATATGGAACCCGAAACCCGAATCCCCGAAATCGGCAGACTATTCGACCAAAGAGTCAGTCTAATCAAACCATAACATAACATAACATCACGCCTTTTATCAAGGGGTGCACATTATACCACTGTACAATGTAAAACACACTTTTCACTATTTATGTTATGAGTCCCATGTAATAGGGGGTGAGACTATTGCCATATACCGGGCACAATTCCAGACTCCGTGCTACTACTGAGAATATTTAAAAACCCAGTAATACTTTGCAAAGTAGGTAATAAAAGAAAATTAACAAAGTAGGAATACAATAGAAATTATAAAACCATCAATCCATTTCAAGTTTTTAATCACAGAAAGGCATTACAATCACAGTTATTATGTACCAATAAAATCATTATGAATATGTACGTAACAAATTGGAACAGTACCTCTACAATCACTTTTAAACAATACTAATTAATCGATACTCGTTAGCGATGACGTAATTCTTTTGATGGGAATAATTTTACAGCGCCTCTAGTGGTCACTCACGGAACTATAATTAGCCGTACAAAAAGTTTGACGTCGGCGCTATCGAGTATCGACAAATATTGTTGTTTCAAAGTCATGGTAATGGTTTATAAATCGGTTTTCGCAAACACATCGACGTTCACTGGTATTGCTTCTGAACACGCTGTTTTTGAAGGCTTCAGTCTGAAGCTGCAATGTGATTTAAAAGTAATTTCATAAGGGCTATCGGTAGTTTGCTCACAGACGTTGCTTATACAACTTAAGATCTTGTCTCCTAATATCGAACCATTGGTCAGTATTTGTAAGGTAAAGTGATAATATGAGAAATTGGACCTCATCCACACGATATTAGCGACATCTAGTGAGCACAAAAACGTTAGCACTCACTAAATTGAAAAGATCAAAATCTAATATTAATTATTATATATAATCATTTTATTTCATTTGTATGTGTGTATCTTACTTAATCACTGCATATAACTTATAATAACTCCCAGTTCCCATACATTAATCTAGTAAGCAAAAACACTAATATATTTATTTATTTTCATTCCATCCCCGATTAATTCATTTCAATTTCAGGTGTATTGTCAAAATATTATGTGTGAAATAGTTAATTTATCTCGATTTAGATTAAAGTGCTTTTTAAGCGAATTTATAATTTTAAAACTAAACAAGCTTGCATTATAAGGCTTATAATGCAAGCTTCATTCGTGACACATTGCTTATGCTTGTGCGGCTTATAAGCAATGCTGCTCATGAATACGAGCCTCTAGCATGGCTTGAAAGTCGAGTTCTTCATGAAACAGTAACGGGAGTAAGCCGAAAACATAACAATAAAAGTATGTCCCACGAAAGTTATAGTATAAATAACTAGCTACCCGCCCCGGGTGCAATATGTATGTATTATACATATAAACGTTCCTTAAGAATCACTCTATCTATTAAAAAAAAACCGCATCAAAATCCGTTGCGTAGTTTTAAAGATCGAAGCATACATAGGGACAGACAGACGGCGGATAGCGACCTTGTTTTATACTGTGTAGTGATAGTGACGAGTTTATCTATTTTGTCGCAACACGATTATAGCCTATTTAAAGTGTTTTTATTGAGCACCATGGAATTATAGTTTGAGCTATATAGGTTATGGGTAATATAAAGAAAACTTATTTTAGTTAAAGAACATTTTGTCTAAATTCAAACATTCCGTATCGCAAGTTCGAGTTCTTTTGCCCTGCAGTATAATTTTCCTTAAACTCCAAACAAACTAAAAACTATTTAGTTAGGTACTGGCATACTATTAGATTATAGTCAAAACCAACATAATTCGGAATTACTAAATATCAAAAACAATAGATACAATTTGTATGAATCAAATTTACTCGCAAAATATTTATACAACTCAAAGTACTGTTTACATATATAATATCTTGGTACCTACTACTGCAAGTATATAAAGATGTCAATTTTCTACGCGAACATAATTACATAATGATACAATTACAAGATAACCCTCGCGACACAAGCAACTAACGTACGGCGGAATTATCTAGATATATGAAATACGGAACTGAGCAATAAATTATACCTCTACATGTTCAAATTGTATAAATAAAAATCTGTATATCTAGACATTATATGCCGAGATTTAAAAAAAATCACTAATTCTAGGGTTGATAAAAAATATTAAACAGGTATCTTATATTTTATATATTCTTGCTTTTCTTAAATCATCAGAACGCTTAGCCGTGACGTAGCATTAAGAAAAAACAACATTTTTAACAGACTTCAAAAAAAGGAGGATTTCAATTTTTTTTTTTATATAAACTTTGTCCCACACTAGGAATTTCTCCTGAATCGTGGGTGCGTTTATAAACATACAAGTTCACATACACATGACACCTAGACCCGAAGCAACAATTTGTGGATCACACAGAGTTGTTCCGTGCGGGAATCGAACCCGCGATACGTTGCGCGGCAGCTAGTTGCCCAGCCACCGCACCAATTGGGCAGTCGTAATTTGACCGTATATGTTTTTTTTTACATATAATTGCATTTCGGAATATGCTTAGTTCATTTTACGTAGATACTTAATGATCTTTTGTAACGACTTTTAAAAGTTAATTTGCCCGAAACTAATAACTCAGTATCGACTATACTGACATCTATCTAAGTGACCCAGGAGTAGGTAGAAACAACTGACTATAACAAAGTAAAAATACGTGTCCATATTTCCATTATCAACAGACAAAACGACATATACATAATACCTTGCATAATAAAAATGAAAATAATCTATACTGAACTAATTTAAGTATTCACGAAGTGTGTATCCGGTAATCATAAAATATTACGTTTTACAATTTGCATCACAATACGACGTGACCTACAAGTACTTACTAATGTCAAGGTTATGAAAAATATTGTGAAATTATAATGTTCATGTTTTTACATCGCGATAAAATATGTTCAAAGTACTCATGGGTTGTGAACATGAATCCGTAATTGTAGGTCAATTGGAAATGGCCATTCTTATCAAAATGTTAAGTTATTTTGATTTCAAGGCTTAAAATATCTTATAATAACCGGCATTAAACTACGAAATACATTAAAAGTACATGTAAATTATTATAAAACAAAATCACATACATGTAGCAAAAAATCCATCGTCTTGAACCACTTTGCATTCACCGCAGTACCTCTCAAATGACCTTACTTGACAAAAAACAAATGTTAATCAATTAATAATTATTATTCGTTACAAAAATAAATATAAATATCATCTATTTATAAAATCAAAAAGCTAGCTAGCAAAATCACCGAGCCCCCAATAATTGTAACATGATTTTCGAAATTGCTAATTTATAAACTGCTGTAATATTGGCGTTGGTTAGGTCAGAAATAGCTTGCATACATTTCGGTCTTCCTAAGTATATTAACCTTCATTGATTATGTATATTAAGGGCAAAATTGAACCTTACAAACGCCAATACCAGAATACCTTAAAAATATTAGACCGTATCTTTAGTAGCTAACACTGGTTCAAGCAGATGACCTACTTTCTGTATTTGTCAGCTTTGTGTCGTAGAAACCACATCAATGCGAATAGACAAGATGGCGGAGTGTTCAGAGGTCCCGGACCGGATATCCATTTTTCTACTTCTGGTATTGTTTTTTCTACTACCTCTATGATTTCATCTTCGACGCCACCACCTGAAAATTTTCAATGAATTAAAATTAATTGAACATGGGCCTGTTTCGCGGAGGACCTAACGGGTAACCGGGGCTCCGGCTCGACGTGCATGAGAAGGAACGGGGTGGATTTTAGTCAGTAAGAGTCTGACACTCCCGCCTCACCCAGGCGGGAGCAGTCATTCGATGATTTTCCCCCCTTAAAAAAAAAAGGCCCGGCCCAGTCTTTGCCTAAATGAGGTAGATATTGCCACCACTGTTGAGTGACTAAGGGTTGTATAACTACGAAAAACTTAATATTAGCTTGTGGTGTTATCAAAGACGGCTTTGTCTGGCAGTGGACGGGAACGAACTCAACCGAAATTATGACGATGCAATTAATTTTTTGACGAGAAAAAAGGACCTCAGCCTTTTTCAGCACTATCATTAATCTCTTAAATCGTGATGTACAAATATTATCATTTACCAATCTTTCTTTCATTGTGCTTCATTTCATTATTGGGAAGTACATTATTTCGCGCATGTGTATATAAGTGTGGTTAATCGATATAGAATGGCCGTGAAATAAGGTGATCGATATCGCGTGTTCGTACTTTCTGAGAAAGATAGCGGGCTGGCAAACAAACAGAATTGAAGTATGGTTATGGTAACCTTCAAATTATACGAAATTATTGGAAGCCACATTTTAATAAAACCTATCAGGCGATGAGCCTTAAAATAATAAATCCACATAGAGAATATTTTTCATAGTCCTGGTCTTATAGAAATTACATAGTTCACTTAAAATCTAGGCAGTCTAAAGTATGCTGTACCTCGTCTCTTACATCCGAAATTAATAAATAATGTATCTTAATCCAACATCTGTGGATAGAACGATTTTACTACAACTAATGTAACTGAAATTAATAACCTAATTTCGGTTAGCGGTTCGTCGCTGCTTGATTGGTTTGGTTTAACAAGTTGTTTTAAAAACATACAAATTCCGAACTTAGCAGTAGAATTAAGGCTCAGAATTTACGGCAGTAGGAACCTATGGTGAATTTCAGTACGCTTAATAGTTGCTAGGTAGTAACAAGGTAGTTGGCAAATTACCAATTCTCATTGAACAGAATCATACTGTTTTACTACTACGTTCGTACGTTCGTACTTAGATACATTTAATTATTACTTGAGTAGTTAAATAACGATTTTGTTTCGAAAACGGTAGATGTCTAGTTTTTATTTTACCTAATGTCCGTCTGGTACATAATTTTCAAATATTAGACACGTATTTTTTATTTTCTTTAAGAAACAAATATTTTTGACGGTATATTTTTTTGAAATGTCGCGTGACGTCACTTCTAGGGTCGTTTTATACGTAGAAATGACGTTTTAGGTTCCACTCCTAAACTTTGATTCGACAAAATACAAAAATACGTGTATAATGTTTTTTCATTATCTAATTGACGGAGTAATTAAATTTTTATTTTCATACATCATCCCTATTGCTTGGGGATTCGGTTAAGTAACAATTAAATGACTGAGTACAGTGTATTGATCAATTAATAAGTATATTTGATATTGGTATGTCGCAAGGCGAGATCCATTAACCGATAGACAAGATGGTTTGATAAAAGTATTACTATAATAATAGGTACATACAAATAGTAATCATATACATAAATAAGTAGTGTACCTACCAAAGAGTCTGTCTTCATCTTTAGTATCTATAGTCCTTCAGGGACAAAATAGGTACGTTCGGCAAATGTCCAATATTATAGTCAAAACTGGAACTAGCATTGGATAATTCCGCGTATGTAACAAATGTAGGTAATTCAACTTTTCGTGGAATATCCTGCAGTATTAATTGGCTGGCACCGCCTTGACACAAATTCATTTCGACTCATTTTTACCCGACTGCCAAAGAAGGAGGGTAATGTTTTTCGAGTGTATGTAAGTATGTATGTATGTCTTTTCCTTTGGGACCACCTGTAGCCTAAACGGCTTGATGGATTTTGATGTATGAGGTATCGTTAGATTTGTCTTGATTACGGGAGTGTCATAGGATACATTTTATCCTAAAAGTCCCACGGGATAAAGACATAATAATATTTTTTCTAAATTTCCCTTTAAAAAAATATGTATGCGGTATCATTAGATTCATTTCAATCACGGGAGTAATTAATATAGGATACGTTTTTTCTCAAAATTCCCACGGGAACATGTTAATTCTGCGTCAACGCAAAGCAACTCATGCGTTAGCAAGCAAAAAGATAGGGCGTGGCCTGGCATGCGGCGCGCGGCGCGGTGCGGAGGGGGATATGCTCGAGTATACAGCCCGATTGCGGGCACACGCATGAGGGCACACGTCGTTGACGGTCGTCTCTAAATAGCGATTTTATTCGATATATCCCTATTTGTATATATCGAAATAAAAACAGCTAAAAAGTTATAAATAAAAAAATTATTATTAAAAAAACAAAATACCCGACTGCACACTAAAAAAAGAGTAAAACAAGCCCCACAATAATATTGATCAATCAAATGCTAAAAACTAATTATGTAATACCGTTTAAACAATACCTATATTAAAATACACTACAATATGTGTTCGTAATCGATAGTTAAATAAACAGAAACTTATTTTGAATACAAATTTACTGAATATAATTTATAAATGTTGATGGAAAGCATCGCAGGCGGGGACCACCTTGACCGCCACCAACGAAAATTCTGCTAAATGGTGCACAACCGAAATGACTATAAATAAGCCTCTGTTGGTCCCCGCCTGCGATGCATTCCATCAACATTTATAAATTATATTCAGTAAATTTGTATTCAAAATAAGTTTCTGTTTATTTAACTATCGATTACGAACACATATTGTAGTGTATTTTAATATAGGTATTGTTTAAACGGTATTACATAATTAGTTTTTAGCATTTGATTGATCAATATTATTGTGGGGCTTGTTTTACTCTTTTTTTAGTGTGCAGTCGGGTATTTTGTTTTTCATATGTAAAAATGAGCTTCAAATTCATTGAATTAATAAAGTTATTAAGTAAAACTGGATCTATTGCAGATACGCGGCCTTTACGTATGGTAGATTCGCGGATTTGCACCAACCCCTATGATATGGGACATTGTCAATCCCAGTGTCAAGGTTGGGGTTGGGTGTTTATTGTAGTAAACCAAATAATTGATTATTATTTGTTGATTAATTTATCAATTACGTTTACATACTAAGTAATATAAAAAATATTAATCATTGCACACACAGACTGAGTAGTAATATTTGCCTGCTTTTTCAATTACATTTCATCAAAATAGGTTTAGTAGTTTAGGGAGATATTTTGATTAGAAGCTTTGAGTAATTAGAACGTAATTGAAACAATAAAATGTGAACAAGAATAATGCTGGTATAATCCGCAGTTGCTTAAGTAAATAAAATAAGTAAGGTAAGTATCTAAAAGGAACGAATACTGAAATGTGATAAAACAACGGCTACAATATTTAGGTGCAGCGCAGACAACAGACTATCCGTGACGCACTCTTTAGTCTGGGAAAATAGAACTTATGCACTTAGGTATATGCAGTAACGCACATTACGCGCAAAAAGATTGCACCGCGACGCGCCGCACAAAATTTTGCTTCTGCAATAGACAATCTACATTTGCTAGGGGTGGAACGTACCTTCCTTATTGTTGCTAAAACATTTAAAATATTTGTTCCGGATGTTGTTACAGAATCGAATGTTTAGTATGGAACTGTCCCTTCAGTAATCTTTCCAAAAGTATAGGATGTACCCAAAATGTTCTATTTCTTCTTCTTTTTCTGTACTTCATGTACAAAATAATACTTCGCGATCTCTGTACAATTTCCATATCGTCTACGTCCCTACAACTCTGCTGACAGAATGATAGAAGATGTGCGTCGTGTGCGTTGAGTCTGTGAGAAATCCGCGACCGATTTTTTCCACTTCTAAATTTTTGTTGTTTGACGTTCAAAAGTGCCATCCTGGTCTAATTGATATAAATTATTTTGACTTTGACTTTGACCGACTTTTTGTGCGCCGCAGACTCGGTCGCACAAAAAGTGTGCCGTCTGCGCTACACCTTACACTCACAATAATTGTACTAATTGAACTTATCATGGCAATTCAATTAAGTAATAAATGTAGAGTGATTAAAATTGTATATAAATGTCATTAATTATCACAACTTAGCGTACTTTATCGCATGACAATTAAAAACAAAACATCTGGTTTAAGAATTAAAATCGATATTGAATTTGAACTGTCGACGTTGTTGTAACTCTGAGATAAATTTTGTCGAGGCCTTTTCCTAATGAGATTTGGCTGAATGTCAGTATTTTACGAGGACAAACTGCCATCTGCCCGATTACCGTATAACGGTTTCAATGTAGATCGAGAGGTGAATAAAGACAGACAAGAGGGAGAATACCTGGGTACTTTTTTTAAGGAAAGAAAATCATCCAATCCGCCTAGGCGAGAGGGTGTGGCAGACTCTTTGTTACTGTCTAAAAACCACCAGAACCGATGGCTAAATGTGTTCTCCGAAGCATGGTACACGGGCGTTGTCAACATTCGTATATTTGTATGTATATGATATTTACAACTTACCTTTTCCTATTTTCATGTCGTCGGTGACCTCACAGTAGAATAATGTTTGTAGCGAGCCCTGAACGCCGACACCGGCCCTGTGTGGCAAACAAACTCATTACATTTGCATGTAATTTATTTATTCTAATGTAAAATCTAGGTATAATATATACTCTCTACAAAATATGTCAATGTACCTAAACTTGTGAACGGGAGTTAGGTTAATAGGAAATAAAAAAAAGGTCTTCGGATTACCGACTTCCGATTTGCGAGTGACCAAATAACAAAGAATAAGGACAATAAAAAGTTTGTGGTAACAGTTACCACACATACAAGCAAAACCAATACAACCAACCTGTATGACGCAATTTGTAGCAGTTCTTTGAGCGGTACGTCATAGCCGCACTCTTCTAAAACTTCCTCCTTGGCTATCTCCTGCAAGGACTTGTTCTTGTCTACGATGCCCGCGCACATCTCCAAAGTGATGCCTAGTGAGGCTGGGTACTTGCTCGTATCAATTTCCCCAGCTTCCCGTTCTCCTGGTGGTATGCAGTTGAAGTACACAGCTGTGGAAGAGGTAAAGAATTGAAGTCAAAGTCAAAGCATTTATTTCAATTAAACCATAATTTGGTACTTTTGAAACGTCAACAAATACAAAATAAAAAATAGTCTGTCAGTCAGACCGTCAGTGAAACTAGGTGAAGCTAGGTGCTCATTCCAAAATGTAGATTCGAATGGAGAAGAACGAGCAAGAAACTCCATTCATTACTCTTTTTAAAAAAGTATGTTCTACAATGTCTCTGATACATATTTCAATACTGTATGTGAGAACAATGCAAAGACACGCTTGACGCATTATACTAATTACAAAACTTACTAAAATAAAATGAAAAAAAAAAAATACAAAAAAATCTTATAGTCTAACATGGTGCTCACATATGCATACTGACTCCATAAAAATAGTGCTTCTATACAAGAAAAATAAAACCCTTTGTTCCAATAAAGAAAGAAATGGTCGATGCCATAAGGAAACCAGATTGTGTACATTAGAATGAAAGTATTAAATTACCTACTATTGGAAAACTATTGACTACATTTGAGTATTGTCCAGTGGAGCCGAACCAACATGCTGCCATGCTGCATTCTTATCTTCGAGTTAATCTGTCAGTGTGTAGTAAGCTTGATTACATAATTCGCGCTTAATATATGTTTTAAATTTACTTTTATTAGAGCTGTTTACGTCATCAAGATTATTTGTACGTCGATCTATTTTAAAAATTAATGATGTATCTGCAAAAAGCCTCATTCTTGGTTCATTTTTGAATATAAATGGCAAATCATTTATATAGACTAAAAAGAGAAAGGGACCCAATATTGAACCTTGAGGAACTCCCATATTCATCCCAGAGCCCTGTGAGTTAATATCGTTAACATGACCTTTAACTGTCTTTCTTCTAAATAGGATTTCATAATACGGAGAGCAGAGTTTATTTCCCGTAGTGATCTAATTTCAGCAAAGTGTCTCGTGGTCAACGCAAGCCAATCAAATGCTTCTGAGCGGTCACAAAAGACACCAATAGCATTCTGTGCTTCCTCCTCAGCACCAAATATTTCCTTAATCAAAGTGACACCGGCGTCAGTTGTGCAACGACCTTTAGTGAAACCGTATTGATGTAAGATAGAATGTTTATTAAAATGATGAAGCATCTGAGACAGCATCAACTTTTCAAAGACTTTGCTGAGAACCGGCAAAACAGACACTGGCCTATAGTTGTTGGGCTCTTTAGTGTCACCACTTTTAAATAGTGGAATAACTTTAATATATTTAATTAGGTCAGGGAAAACACTGTCATCTATACATTTATTGAAAATCACAGCCAGATATGGCGCTACAGTTTGAATCAGTGACTTGCAAACTTTTACCAACAATCCCTAAAGATCCTCCGTTGATTTGGTCTTGATTTCTTTAAAAACTTTTATAATTTCTAGAGGATTAGTATAACGAAAACTAAAGTTGTGTTGACATGATTCTATGTTGTTCTTAAGCAAAGTTACAGTGAGGTCTACAAATGAGTTTCTATAAATCATGTTAGCTATAATATATATGTGCTGAGGGATAAAACGGATGCATTCATGGTAAGGGGAATGGTAAGAGGAATGATAAGGTAAATGTCTTGCTTTCCACCTAACTAAATTTCTACATTACTAACACAGGGTTACAGGTTAAGTCGACCTAAATCCTTTAAGAGGTGGTAGTATGCATAATTCTTTGCAGATTTGACTAAGAAACCCCACAGCCCAAACAACTCTGAACAAATAAGATAGTTCGTTGTTTGTTCAGGCTTTTCTGTTTCAAGTTTTTTCCTACTTTTAATTTGGCCCTTTTTTTATATATCGCCAATCTGCTTAGTATATCTTCGTCCACTCTGTCCACTTTTTTCGTTACTCTACTTTCATCCATCCTTTCTACATGTCCAAACCAGCGTAACATTCCCTTTTCAATCTTTGTCACTATATCATCTATCAATCCACACCTTTCTCTAATAACACTATTTTTTACTCGATCACCCAATTTTGCAGTTCACTTACCTGGCCTAAAATGTTTAGCCATCACCACCACTTTCCTTGTGACATTAAATACCATTACAAAGACTGAGTCCGTTACTTCTATCATATCCCGAGACATCATTTTGCTATCCAAGGAGTAGAAGAAACGCAACGGTCGGACTGTAGCATTATCCGGTAAAACCGTCATAAACACATCAGTTATTTGCATATTCTCCATTTTGCAAAATAATATGTTCTTCAATCAATAAAAATTTTGTAATATAAAATCAAATGTAAAAAATGTCTTCAAAATTTTGCAGAATTTATAAAAATCAAACTGACAATGTCAATTTGTTTTATTTGATAACCAAAGAGGATTAACTATCTAAAGATTCTAAAGAGGTTATGAGGTTATTGAAAAAGATTTTTATAGTTATGGGATAGTTCTGGGATATTCAAAAAAGTATTTAGTTAATTCAGTGCAGGGTCTCTAAAGGGGTTTCATTCTCAGGGCCAATAATAGCAAAACAAAAAAGCAGTTTAAAAATAATCGTAACACTATGGAGTCTACAATTGCTAAGTAGTGGAAATATTCACTAAACAAGGATTTATACTTTAAAAATATTTATTTTTATAAGATGGTAAGCAGTTACCGTAGCTTATGTACACTTGCCACAATTGCAATATGGAATGGAACATGGAACTTATTTCCAATCTTAGTGAAAAAATACATTGCTGGTAAATTAGATCTGTACTATAGTCTGATTTGTCTATAAAAAATACCCAAACTCTAAGCAACCGTGGGCTAACAAACATTTTGAAAGGGATGAATGAAGAATATTGAATGTCTATTTTATAAATCAAGTCTGACAAATTGGCAGTTCTCCTTTTCCAGTTCCATTTGTTATAATATCCCATACATACATACATACATACATATAATTTGACTTCAAGCCAAGGATAGGGCACAATTTATTATTATTTGCCATTATATTGTAACATTACAATACAAATTATCGTAACACACAAGAGTTCACTATCAGATAAATTATATAAGATAGGTAACAATCTCATTCAAACATTTGTTACTTGTTACATTAATTTAATTAAAAGATACGCATCTTAAGTGTTTAGTCTTAGCTTTCTTTGATAATGGGTTTACTTACCGGGTCGGAATTGCTTGACGAATACCAAAACGTTTTTGGTGGTGTTGAAAACTATGATAGCGACGCTGTCATGCACCGCCAGCATATCCCAGTTCTTATCCTTGCCTCCTTGCACATAGTTAAAGCGGAAAGGCCTCACGTAAGGAGAATCCGGTAAAGGAGTCAAGTAGACTTTCGTTAGATCTTCCATCTTCAGAGGTTTATCCTACCGGGATAACAGCAATAATTTAACTTAAAAGTTACTGTTTAGTTTTATAGAATTCTTATACACTCACGAATTAGAATTATTTGTAATTGTTAAATAATCTACAGTCCAAGTAGAAACTGCTGGTTATCGAAGTCAGTCACTTTCGAACTGACAGAATTATGATTACGATTTACGACTAATGTCAAAAACTGTCACTGTCAAGTGTTGACTGCTTAGTGGTGTAGTTACTATTTCAAATAGCAGTTTAAGATATTTATCCGAATTAGCTTTTGTGATATTCTACAATTTCAATGATATTAATCCTTCATTAGTCTCCAATAATTAATAATATAATTATATAAAGTTTTAAAAACAACTATTTCGCTATATCGAATAGTTAGTATGTTTGTGATGATGGTAACCAGCTTCACTATTATTCAGATTTGTCATTGTCAATAAAGTCAACTTGGAGTGACATTTCTATTGTGTCCGTGTACTTGACCATGGAAAAGTAAATAAAACCATATTTTATTGTTGAATAATAAAGGAAATCATAGTACAAACAACTAATCTACTTACTTTAGACAAATGTAAAACGTGACTGTGCATATTATATGCAAAAAGGAAAAAACAAACATAGGAATGGCTCGACAAGAAAAGGGCCTAAAAACGGGTTTCGTGATAAAACTATCAGACGAAACTGTGCAAAAATTGGTAGAAGAGGAATCACAAGCTAAACCGCAAATTGAAGAAGTCGTTAAGTCTGAGAGTGAGAAAACAGACTCAAATAAAGTTGATAAGAAAGTAGCACCCGAAGGTAAAGACAAGTCTGAGGTTAGTTCACCACCTGTATCTGATAGGAAAGATACAAATCCTCAAACTGTGAATGATCAGGATAAATTTAATAAAAGTAGTAAAACTGAGGATACTAATAAAGCTGAATCAACCTGGGGTGATTATGCACCATACATTACATATGAAGGTGAAGAAGCTATCTACACCGACCCTTCAAACAATCAGAAATACATTTGGAGCACTGAATCCAATTCTTGGACACTGAAACCAGGACAAGAAGTACAAGGAAGAGAGTATAGTTATGAAAATGATACTCATATTTATACAGAAGCTGATGGATCCAAATTTTTCTGGGATGTTGATAAGAAAGCTTGGATTCCAAAAGTTGATGATGACTTCTTAGCTTTATATCAAATGTCATATGGATTTGTTGATAATAAAGCTGAAGAGAAAGACAAGAGTACAGTAGAAGAGAAAAAGAAAGAACAAAAGAAAGCTGATCTTACAACAGCAGCAGGAGTAAAACGGAAAGCTGAACCACAGTGGTTCCAGCCATCAGAAGAAACTAACACCAAGGTGTATGTGTCAAATCTACCTCTAGACTTAACTGAAGAAGAATTTGTCAATTTTATGCAAAAATGTGGCTTAGTGGAACGAGACCCTAGCAACCAAAAGATGAAGGTAAAATTGTACAAAGATAAAGAACAAGATTGTTTCAAAGGTGATGCTCTGTGTACTTACATTAAAATAGAATCTGTAGATTTGGCATTAAAGTTACTTGATGGCAGTGATTTCAAAGGGAACAAAATTAAAGTGGAAAGAGCATCATTCCAAATGAAAGGAGAATACAATCCAGCATTAAAACCAAAGAAGAAAAAGAAAAAAGAACTTGAGAAAATTAAGAAAATGCAGCAGAAATTGTTTGATTGGAGACCAGAAAAGTTTATTGGAGAAAGATCAAAACACGAAAGGGTTGTTATTGTCAAAAATCTATTCCACCCAACTGATTTTGATCAAGAGGTCCAACTAATCCTAGATTATCAGCAAGACATGAGAGATGAATGTGGAAAGTGTGGAGAAGTTAGAAAAGTCGTAATTTATGACAGACATCCTGAGGGTGTAGCTCAGATTACTATGAAAGAGCCAGAAATGGCTGATGCAGTTGTTGAACTCATCAATGGAAGGTGGTTTGGCAAACGTCAGATAACAGCTGAAATATGGGATGGCAGGACCAAGTACAGAATTGCTGAAACTGATTCTGAGATAAGCAAGAGGATAAATAAGTGGGATGAATTTTTGGAAGGCAAAGATGGAGAGGAAAAGAAGAATGGGTCTAAGGAATCTGCTGAGAGTAAAAAGCAAGAACAGTCTAGTGACATCACAGATATAAAATCAGTAGATAACATTGAAATGAAGGATGCAACTGGGAATGTTTCTGGAGATAGTAAAAAAGATGTTGGTAATGAAACCACAAAAGTTGCAGAAGATGTTAATCAAAGTGGTTGAATTTTTTAAAGTATGAATTAAATTATTAATTTTTACTTAAGTGAAAGAAATAAAATAAAAAAAGAATATGCCTTTTATTTTTAATTTTGTTTATTTTTAATTATTAATAACTTTGAATACTGATACAGTTTTATGTACCTTATGCATTGGCGGCTTGATTTTCTTGACAGTTTGATTTGCTAACTTTACTTCATATAACAATCGTTTTGTGGAACAGGCTCGTATAATGTTTGTTATAAGCATACTCGTGGATGTTAATCAATCTGAAGGGTCTGCCAAACCTCCAAGACATAGAGATCATCATGCTTTTCTTCAAACATTGTAGTTTCAAATCTGATCATTACCTAGTTTATAACCTTGGACTTTGAAATTACAATTTGAGTAAATTGATGTTTGGACACATGACAAGATAATTTATCGCTTTATTCATGATCAAAAAGTGACAATGATATTTGTTGCGATCAAATGCGAATATTTTATGTCACTTGCTTTTTGCTTCGATAAATTAATTTAGAAACAAATTACAGTGATGAATGGGATGAGCGATTTTATTTGATAGTCATAAGAAAGGTTTTGCTAAGGAAACATATGTGTAATCTTGAAATAGCTGGAAAGCTCATGTAATTCATATTATTGGTTGTAATGATTGTAAATAAGTAATGTAGATTTCAGGATAATCGTGAACCGATTAATCGAGTAAGCGCCGACTAGCCACGAGCGTTAGTCTATGATTTTAGGCAGAATGATAATTTTCTGTGCGCTACAACTAGTCCTAATTAAAAAGCAAACACAGTACCATAAACAACAAGCCGTCATGTTGTCTGACACCTGACTTTTTAGTTGCATACACAAATTTATCTAATTCGACGTTTTGTAATCAAAAACGTTTACAATATCGCTGCTAACCAATAGGCGAATAAACTGAGTTTACAACGGTGTATTGTTCTATAATGGCCATTGTGTACGAACGCTTTAATACGCGTCTATACTTAGAGTGAGGTGTCACGTCTAATCGGGGCTTCTCTAGCGGCCGACTCCATGAATAATAACAGGATAATATGTTAACATGGCTGTGCAATCAGACTCTGGAGGGAAGGACGACGTGAAGACCCAGTTCGTGACACGAGAAGGCACTTATCGCCTGATGACCCTATCGGAGTATTCCAGGCCTAATCGTGTTGGTTATACAAGTGGCTCCGGGTCTTCCCATGTGCGCGTGTCTCTGGTCAGCCTTCCGCCAGGTCCTGGGGGCGGAGCGCCTGGCTCTGATGGACAGGGATCCGACGATAGGATATGCTTCAACCATGGCAAAGAACTTTATGTTTATGTCTATAGAGGCGTCAAAAAGGTAGAGTATCTTGTGTTTTGCTTACATGTATAGCTAACTTAAATTATATTCCTTTAGTTAGAAGTATATACCACATCTCATTTACATGTCATTAGTAAAAGACACACTAATAAAAGAAAACCAATAAGAATCCTATTATTAAAATTATTGTAGCTCTTTATAGGAGTTTGAGTACTCATAACTTATCTCTATATTTTTCTAGATTGTTAACTTCAACCCAATTTATTTGAAAATAAATTTTATCAACATTTTCTATTCCCTATCTTGCAAAAAATCCATATCAACAGCAAACAGACCATATCTATAAATAGTATCTTTGCTCTCTATCTAGATTTTAATAACCTTAATTGCTTATAGTTATAATGTAGGTGTGCTTATAATTTAGACTATAAAAAATTGTTCTGTGTATAAGCATCGTTTTCATCATGAAAAAAAAAATATATACCTATTGATGCAATTACAACCCGAAATATGAATGATTTACCTACATTTTGCACATGCTGCAATAAAGTAATCAAATTGTTATCTTATATGAAATCTACATCACAAAAAATATAATATGTATTATCTTCGCACTGCTCTAGCTGTCAAAAGATGTGATTGTATTGTATTTGTTTAGTGCTCATAAAACAATTAATTTAGTATGATGTGGTTTACTTCTTTCTTTGACTGATGCAATATAATTTTAATGTAGCATACTTCCAGTACTCCGCACCCATTGCTAGCTTTGTTTCATCCAACATGCTTTGCATGAGAAAACAGCTGTTACACAGACCATACTAACACCATTCATCTAAGCTATCAATAAGTACACATTACAGTAGTTAGAGTTATCCAATGGGACACAAAACTCACACAATTGTACGTCCGGCAGGGCATGTCACTATATTACACACTTCCTCGGCAGGCGGCTGATCTCACAAAGCCAGTTGACAAGAAGATGTACAAAGGAACAAACCCGACTTGCCACGACTTTAACACCGTCACGATGACACCGGACAGTGTGTCCTTAGTTATAGGATTTTCTACCGGCCAAATACAACTCATAGACCCTATTAAGAAAGAATTAAGTAAATTGTACAATGAAGAGGTGAGTACAAGTTTTAATATCTTTTTTTATACTGAAAGACACATTAATCTACTCCAATCTGTGAAACATTTTCTATTTTATCGCAAAATGTTAAGGTTGAAAATTGGTTGAACTAATTAGTTACCGTATTTAGGAAATACTTAAGCCTACAACCTACCATTTCAGTTCCTTACATTAACATGATTTATTTACATAAGGTTTCTAGTACTTACATGACTTCAGAGGTGAAGTAAACAAGCCTTTTCAATTCCGTCCTCCTATTGTGTTGTTATTCTAACTTTTGTTATGAAGATTTTGTATGATGACGAAGTCCTTACAATTCTTACAAATATGTGTGTAATGTATTTTTCTTACAAGGCCTTGAAGTGTCAAAGATTATTACAATTTTGTCAGCATTGGACCAGGTGTTTACATAATTATTATAATAGTGAATCTAAATAAAATATGAAGATATATCTCAATGTTGTGTCTAGTATATGTTTAATGAAGACTGAATTCTACAAATATGCAGGTGGTATTTTTGGATTCATTAATATTTTTAAGGCCACATCTGTTTATCAGAGTATTATTTTATTTTAGGTGTTATCTAAAAATATTTATGATCTTAATTAAAAAGGCTTTATCATGATCAACAATTTAAATGGCGTTTTCCGCATTTGACTGTGAACCATTTTGAATCCCTAAAATGCTTTTAAATTCGTAACATTCTTTGAGGATTTAATACATGGCTCAGGTAGAATGAAGACGAAGATTACATTGAGTCGCCGAATTAAGTTGTGTCATATGTCTGTTGGCAATAAACACAAAAACTACTAAACAGATTCTTATGCGATTTTGACCACATGATAGACTAGTTTAAAGGAAAGTTTTAGTACAAAATCATGAACATTTAAAGTACTGGGGGCAAAGCTGCTTTAGCTAGTTTATATCTTAAATAACAGTAGATTAAGAACATTAATTTCTCCGCAAGTTTAGGCAAATGTCCTTCATGCATAGATATTTGATAATATGAAGTATAAACTTGGGTAGGTACTAGGTACTGTATTATCACTAACCAGTTATCATGACCGCATCCTACGTATTGTATTACATAGTCTGTTATATAATGTAGCAAGTAAATAGGGAGTGTTGATAACTTGTATGTTAAATGGAAATTATGTACCTAATTTGTAATTGACCTAATTCTGTGATGTACTATTTTTAGTCGTACTATCTGTCTTGTTGATATGTTTTGTATGTTAGTAAATGTGATAAATATAATTTACTAGCTTTTACCCGCGGCTTCGCTCGCGTCACAAAAGGATAAAAAGTAGCCTATGTGACATATACATACCAAAACACATAGCGCTATCTATACCAATACTTTTGTTTTCCCTCGGAAATATCAATTTTTTCCGAGATAAAAAGTACCCTATTATTTAATCTGGACTTCTAACTTTACGTCTGCAAAAAATCAAAGCAATCGGTTTAGTAGTTACGGCGTGAAAGCGGAACAAACAAACAAACTCACTTTCCCATTTATAATATTAGTAAGGATAGTAAGATGGTAGGACTTATTTCCGTAAACCTTTGTATATTGTTTTGGATATAAATAAATCAAAGTTAACTTTAATGATAAAAACTAACGGATAGCTAATATGTAAATGCATTAAACCATCATGGGCAAATACCTACGAGACATGGGAACACGACTTGTGGGGATCGCAAACCTGCGTATCTAACGTGTCCCAAATGAGCTATATTTTGGCTCGGGCCCCAATCATTGGTAGGTACGCCATTGACTACACGCGCCGATAAATGGGCACAAACATAAATGTATGGTGCTGAAACTGAAATTTCCTATTTCATGTTTTTTAATCGTGGCCGCACAAACAAATTGACAATGGAGAATTTACATATCTAAACATTGCATCCAGACCCACTACAACAATTTGTACATCACCCATAGACTTGTCGTTCCATGTGGGAATCGGACCCGCGATAAGTTTTGGCTATTCGCGGTTACCTAGCCACTGCATCAAATATGCGTCTAAGTTCTTTTGTCTTAGCTTTCCCTATGATTTTGTATCGACACTGAGTCTTAACCAGATTCTGCGAAGTCAGTGGGAACATGAGATAGGCTCAAACAGTTTTATATTCCGTTTATTGTTTCGTTTAGGTTTTCAACTTGGCCCAATGATTGTTATTAAAATTTTAATGACAGTCGAATTAAGTAACTGTTATATAACATAAGCTTTGTGTTAGATTTTAGGGATCGTGAGAAATATTTTGAACAATAGGCCCTAAGTATGTAATTTGATTCGCTTAATCTTTTATAGAACTGCGAAAATGCACCAAATGGGTACGAAATAAAGTGTATTATTTTTTAGTTGTTTAAGTTTTGATGTGAGGTGATTAGAACTGTAGCAATTTCGACAGAGTAGGCGTGGTATGTTGTAAAAAGTTTAGGGATTTCTATTCTAATCTGTGAACCAGTCTTCAACTGCGTTTATAGCTGTTTTTTTCTTCTTCTTATTTTAAACTGTACAGGTTACGGCCATTTTGTCCCACCTACATACACATTATATTAGCTTATCTGTGATTAAAGTCAACAAAGTTTATCAAAGGTCGTCATGAAATGCCTTGGTGTTTGTCTTTGGTCTGCTCATGGCCACACCCTCCAATGTTATCTTGTATGATTTATAAAATAATGCTCCCGTTATATTTACGATGCTAGTTCTCTAGTACCTAATCCTAAACTATGAATGCTAATAGGCTATAATGCTCATAAAACTTTTCCAAACATATTTTAATTACGTTGCGTGACTAGGATCTAGTGGTTTTTCGTGTGTATTATAGTTAAATTTACCGTAATTTATATGACTTATTTCTTTTAATTATGGTATTACTGATCCACAGTGTCACAACTAAATGTTGTTTCCAATTCCAGAGACTGATTGACAAAACGAGAGTGACATGCATAAAGTGGGTGCCTGGCTCGAGCAACCTGTTCATAACGGCGCACGCGTCCGGCCAGCTGTACGTGTACAACGAGGAGCTGACGTGCGGGACCACGGCGCCGCACTACCAACTGTTCAAGCAAGGCGACGGCTACTCCATCCACACCTGCCGCACCAAGTCCACTCGCAACCCGCTCTACAGGTGGCTCATAGGAGCCGAGGGCAGCTGTATTAACGAATTCGCGTTTTCTCCGTGTGGAACCAATCTAGCAGTGGTCTCACAAGATGGCTTCCTTCGAGTTTTCCATTACGACACAATGGAACTCATCGGAAGAGCCAGATCATATTTTGGCGGCTTTCTATGTGTCTGCTGGTCTCCTGACGGCAAGTACGTCGTAGTCGGCGGAGAGGATGATCTGGTCACCGTGTGGTCGTTCAGCGAGAGGAGAGTGGTGGCCCGCGGTCAGGGGCACAGGTCGTGGGTGTCTGTAGTTGCTTTCGACCCCTACGTCGTCAGCTTCAGCGAACCGGAGAGCGAGGAGGGAGTCGAAGATGATAGACAGAAAAGTGAAAGTGTGCAGTGTTATAGGTTAGGCAGTGTATCTCAGGACACACAGTTGTGCTTGTGGGATCTCACTGAGGACGTGCTGAAGCCGCCAGTCAGGGCGCGAGCCTCCGCGCATCTCTCACCCAATAGTCAAACATTCTCCCCCAATGGAGTCCCTGGCATGAAAGCACCCGCACCGAAAGGGGCTAAAACTAATAAGATAGGACACAAACACGCCGAGCTTAGCGGGTCCAACGCGGCGGGCGAGCCGTCCGGTACTAAGCAAACGAAGGCGAAAGTAAATAACGTGTCGACCCTCAACATTAGTGTCGGGAAAGCGAAAGAGGAAACTTCGGGGTCGCTCGGAGTTAACTCGCTGACGCAGCGGTTGGCCGGGTTCTCTTTCGGCGAGCGTCGATCGGAACATCGCAGGAATTTTAGTCTAACGTCGAAGCCGGCGGAGCAGAAGTCCTCAGCGTCGAATAGCGTCGCGTTGCGAGGCAAGTCTGCGGGCGCGTCGACGAACGAGTCGTACGATCCGCTGAAGCTGATCGGCACGGCGTCGTGTCCGCGGTTCGACGAGTGCCCGGTGCTGGAGCCGCTGGTGTGCAAGAAGGTGGCGCACGAGCGGCTGACGGCGCTGTTGTTCCGCGCCGAGTACTTGCTGACGGCCTGCGCCGACGGCTGCGTCAACACGTGGGCGCGCCCGGCGCGCGCGCTCAACGGGGACGCGCGGCCCGCGCGCCGCCTCGACCGCATCGACCTCGTCGACTAGTCCCCCTCCGCACCGCCGCGCGCGACACTCTTACTCTACTCCAACGTTTCCGACGCTCACACTCCGATACTCTCGTCCCGACAGTTTCTTGGCCAGACTAAACATTAAGAGTAAATTAATTAGTACAATATAGATGAAGATATATCTCCTTACTTTAGCAGCACTGAAGGTTGTATGTAGCCGTTATTTGAACGAAATAACCGCTGTTTCGTTGCGTTTCGATCAAATAACATTAATGTTATAGATATGAAGTGTAGCAATGACTCGATGTAATGTATATAACTGTTGAAACGTTGGTTGTTTGATAATACTCGCGGCTGTCTGCAGCGGCCGCTGGTTCATAGTTAAAGTTTGTGGTGAGTGGTGTTCGTGTGCTATTATTCCATGTTAGACACATTGTTGGTTCATAATGCGTGTGAGTGTGTTATGTCGTGTCCTGGAGCTCTCCTGTGTATGCCAATATCATTTTAGAGTATATATTTATAAATTCCTGGATCGCAGCCAAACGTTAGGCTTAGAAAAGTTTTAAAATGTTTGCACTGATTTTGAAATTTACACTTTCTGGTTTTGGATGTTTTATATTGCTTCGCGGATCTGGGAATAGCAAATTTGAATACATTTTAATATGATATATGTTTCTTGAGCACGGCAATTTATTATGCACTATGAGCCTGCGAATATTTATATTTCTTGTAGAAACTATTAGATGTATCAGTTGTATGCTTTCCTCGAACGTAGCCCTTGCTCTGAGGTGGTTTAGCACGACACATTACTGAACACACAAGTAACGGTGACTAAATTGTGATACTCTTACTCTACTATATCGGTGGTATTCTGTCCTTTTAATGTAATGGTACTAAGTGGGGGTGTCGCCAGGGTTTTGAACAAGACTATTGGAATGAAGATATCCTATGAATACAGTAAAATATTTATTACTTTAGTTTTCCTTCTGACGATTTTTCCAACCCTGGCTACTCCAGCGATAGTGTCAAGTAGATATAGAAACAGACTTAAATATTGTTAATACTTCCTTCATAGGTCTATCGGAATGTTTCATGTAAAGTAATAGTTTAACTTGTATCGGCATTCGGTTCAATACAATACAGGAAAGTTCCAGTTTGTGGGTGATGTGCCACTAAGCATTTTCTAGAGTTGTAATTGATATACGATAAAAAAACATATTAGATAGCAATAGATATGAGATTCATAACTATGTATAGACAAATGTATATTGTAATTAAGGAAAACGGTTTTTTTTCTCGGCTCACGTGTAAATATAGTTGGTAGGCCAGGCGATCTGATCGCTTCGTATTCGCAAACACGCGCTTTCATATTAAAGCTATTTATTACGATTTTTTTATCGATTTAAAATATTGTTGCATCGATTGACGTGTCTGTAAGACTTGCAGTGTTTAATCGTTTAACTTTTTTATTGTGAGACTCTTATAAGTTGTTAATTATTTAGGTATTAGTTGTTAGTTTGTAGTTTAGTAAATTTATTTTATCATAGATCAATATTTTGGTTCTATATTTTTGCTCTCCTTTAGATAAATTCATATAGAGCGCGGATTTGGTTATTTGAAATGGAGTCTTTGGGTATACTGAGAAAAATACACTATTAAATGTTCTTATAGTATTAATATTGTTACATTGACTTTTTAGGCTGCTATTATACTTATTTCATATCTTTAATCTTTCTTAAGCAAAAACATACATTACTGTATTCTTCCTTTTGTATAAATGCGACTAAATTAGACAAATCCGCGCTTGAAATATTATTCCTAATCTATATTTAGATACTTTCACAATTGTCCATTGCTAATTGCAAAATAATAACTTAGCAACAGTGTAAATAACGGTATAACAACTGTTATAACAATGCAATAGCGTAGTAACGAAATAACTAAAGTATACTTATATTCGCCTAAATTATTTGTTAAAATTATGTTCTATAGTCACTATTATTTATGTGTATAGCGTTTAACGTTTTATTTAAATTGATAAATCGACATTATAATATGAAATAACTTATTTGTGACACCGTTATTAGATGTAAAGTCAGTTAAGAATAACGTTTTCAAAATAGCTGTTATGCATGTTGGAGATAACTGTCACTGTTTCATTGTACTTTGAAGGAATGTTTTCTTTATTTGTGGCCTTATAAATGTTACTTATTATGAATATCATGGGGCTACAACTAAACTTGCCTTTCTATTTATGTATGTCAGTTAATTTAAATAAGTTTCTAATAAAGACAGTAGTTGTGATTCGGAGCTAAATATGGCCGTCAAGGGTTTAGCGACGCGCCATTGGTTCCAACGTTTAGAGCCAGTTAATACGTCTCTTGCGCATCGTGATATTGCATACTAATGTTTTAATTAAAGCTATACGAGACTAGTCGTAATGTGCTATTATTGGTACACTTTCAGCCTTGATAACGTTATTGAAGTAAAGTTTTATATAGTTATTTGTACAGAGTATTGTAACTTCTTGTAATTGTTCATTAAATATATGTAAAGTGTAAGTATAGAGAAAAGACCTGATGACGCAAGATACGTAATGTTACATGAAATTAAATGATCTCAAGCTAAATTATCCTTTCACTGTCGCTTTGTAATCGCGATGCGCATCGCACAAGAGACTTTGAAGAATCTTACTAACAAATTATTTATTGGATACATTTTTGATGATTCCGAAATTGTATTATTCAAGTTATTGATAGCTCTGTTGGGCAAGCAGCTACTATAGTATCCGTTGATTGATGAGCCATTTGTAAGTTTAAACATACTTAATACTAGGTTGTGCTCATAGTTATAATGTTAGCCTTTGAACAATCACTGAGGCGTTGTTCTGACTGCTGACTAAGAATAGTCTAGCCTTTATGGCGAACTTGAGAAAGGGCAAGAGACTGCCCTATTGCATTTAATGACGTGTGATACTCTTATTATAAAATGGCGGGTAATTCCTATTTGATAATGAAGACTGGGAGAATCGATTGATGAATTAACTTCTAGCCAACAGTCAGAACAGTGCTTAAATTATATTTAATTTGTTTTTCAAGATACAGTGTACACGATACACACGTGAAGTGCTCGTGTTCAATACATCTGTTTATTCAGTGATTGATGTTTTTGTATTGTGTTTTAGTAGAATTTATAAGCTCTCTGTTTTGAGCGAATGGGACTAGATTTTTTACGCTGCCTCTAAAATATGAATTTACCTCTTTTTCCTTTAATTTTACTGTAAAAAATTACCATTGTCAGTCACGATTCTAACCGTAAACTTGTTTGAAATAAGGTCTAATTTTGCGTGAATGTTTTTTCTATCTTAATTGTTTTTAAACAGATTGTAGTTGTTAAAAGGCAGTGCTAATGAATACTAGTCCCATAACAAGTTACTAGGTCACCGTCGCAATGATAATATCATGTTTACTACTTATTAATTTATTGGAGTTCTTTGTTCAATAATAGTGAGACACGAATTACAAGCCTATCAAGTTAATATTTAAATAGAGGATTCTCTTTATAAAGTTTTATCGTTTTATTTCTACAGACATGTTTATAAAAACAAACCTCATGTTGAAAATAATTGCGGATTTCATAATTTTTTTAAAACCTCCATATTGAAATTCTGTGGAGAGTTTTTTTGCGAACTTTACTTACAAATTGCCAATTCTTGACATTTTCTATCCCTGACTTCTTTTCCTTGTCCTTATCCCAACTATTTGTATAATCAGTAAATCATAAATCTTCGTCAGCAAGTAAGAGAAGACACGATTTCCAACTAGGTTAAAATAAAACCAAAAAATATCTACATAATGTATTTATTGAACTAAAATAAATATTTTAGTATGATTTGGTAACTAGAAGCCGGGATCCCACGCGGTAGTATCGGCCGCATCTACCATTTTGTAACAGACCACTGTGTCCCCTGGCTGGACGTCGAATGGTTCCTCGAAACGAAGCCCGCATTCCATATCTCGTTTTATTGTTGGAACTTCATCTTTTAAGTGCTTCATTGATGCTAGTTTACCTAAGGAATAATTATAATAATGTTAGAGATTGTCATCTTGATGAAATTAGCCACGAATGTCACATCTCTCATCATCTTTTTTTATGGGGTAAACGAGCAGACAGATCACCGAATGGTAAGCAATCAGCGTCGCCCATGGACACATGGACTACCAGCGGCGTTACAAGTGCATTACCGGCCTTTTGGGGATTAGGAACCTAAGGATTGTTGGAGATTCAGGGATTGAGGAGATTGGGGAAGAGGAGGGCCTTTGGTAACCTCACTGACACAACGGACATTTTCTGCTCGGCTGTGGTATCACTGGTCGAGCCGGTCCATTCATTTAAAAAAAAATGTAGCCACTAGGATTCTGTGTCCACTATTTTAGAACACAACAACAGTATAGTTACAAGATCGTTTTGGACACTCATTTGCCAAAGAAGAGAAAACAAAAAAAAATATTTGACTTGAATCAATAGTACGGAAAAAATAATCGACCGGTTCGACCGTCCTATACAAATTTAACACGCCCTTATTACATAAGACTTGACTTATAAATAGTGGATGCCACATTAACGCTCACCATTGCCGACTTTCAAGAGACTCGATTTTACATTAATGACTTACCTTCAAAAACGACCTCCTGTCCCCTTATAATCCTGTACAACGCGTTCTTGGCGAGTGACCCCTTCACACACCGGCACCCTGCTACAGGTACTTTTTTCTTATTCTCCGTCACTATGAACTGCTGTAACACGTTCGCTTCACCTGGAAATTATAATGGAACTACGTTACTTTTTAATCTATCATGCGTCCGTTTTATTATTGCCAGTGACCCAGGTACCCGGTGACAATGTGTAAGGCTATGTTTAGGCACGTTAGCTGTCACATGTTCTAATGTATATACTATCGGCTAAAAGTAAGGCAGTACGCGTTTTAAACAAAATTCTGCGGCAAACTTGCTATCCACCGCCCTATTTTCCGTGTGCTCGCTCGCACTGAGTAAATGCGCATATCGCCTAATGATGGTCGATCTCTAACTTTTTTTTTAAACAACGTTGGTAAACACTAGAATTTTCTCCTGTATCGTGGGTGCGTTTACAAACATACGAGTTCACATACAAAATGACACCCAAACAGCAATTTGTGGATCACACAAAGTGTTGTTCCGTGCGGGAATCGAACCCGCGACAGTTTGCACGGCAGCCGGTTGTCCAGCCACCGGACCATTCGTGCAGTCTTTGTCTCTTGTCGATTGTATCGTGTATCTGTGTGCAAAGGGGCACGTAAGCAAGTCAGAGGATTTTCTATAATCTCCACGCTTAGTGTACGGATTCCAGATTGCAGTTTCAAAGTAATCTCACTTACACGGAATGGTATTAAAAAAAAGAAACTTTGCTATACAATTCAACAACGCTTCAGTCCCTTTTTGTCTTAATCCTTACTAATATTATAAATCGGAAAGTGAGTTTGTTTGTTTGTTCCGCTTTCAAGCCGTAACTACTAAACCGATTGCTTTGAATTTTTGCAGACGTAAAGTTAGAAGTCTGGATTAAATAATAGGGTACTTTTTATCCCGGAAAAAATTGATTTTCTCGAGTGAAAACGAAATTATTGGTATAGATGGCGCTGTGTGTATTGGTGTATGTCACATAGGCTACTTTTTATCCTTTTGTGACGCGAGCGAAGCCGCGGGTAAAAGCTAGTTTAAAATGAACCAAACTAGTTACTCCGTGGTAAGTAATAACTAATAATATTTCTATTGAATCTTACCTACAAACTCCTCCTCTAGTCTTTTAGGTATCCTAGCGCTGATTTCTTCTTTGACATCGTCTACCAGTCGGTATATGATATTGTGGAGTTTGATTGGAATCTTTTTCTTCTTGGCCTCAACTGTAAGAGCCGGTGGACAGTCTACGTTGAATGCATATATCACAGCTTTGAATACTTCTGCTGTCTGAAATTTATAGGCATTTTATTAACCTTTTCGCCGCCAACGTACACAAAACGCAATGCCTCGCCGAGCGCCAAGCTATAAATGTATAACTAAATATACAGTAAACAGTAGTGATGGGGATATCGTCATATCGATGAATAAGATTTGTACGCGTAAAGTTAAGATTTAAAGTTGATTTTACAAATATAAATAAAAACTGATGAAATATATCCAGATTTATTTTATTTCACAGCATCCTTAATAAGAAAAACAGTATAAATTATGAGTATCAAAGAAACTAATACATTTCTTGATTAGAACTATAAGGAATAGGGAACATCTCTATTTGTTTCATGATGTCATTCTTTAACTTCATATCAAGTTTTTATTATTTTTTAAAAGAATAAAATCGGGAGAAGATTCTGTTTATACATTTGGGTGTAAATTATGCCTCTTAGTTCTTACTGACCTCTAAATCATTAGGAGTAACGGGTCCAACTCCGAAATGTACCAGGTCGAGCTTCACCCTGTCATGTTCGTCATAAGTCTCCAGAATGTCCAGTATAGCTTCCACTGAACCATCCACGTCACCTGAACAAATAAATAAAAAATCATGAAGTCAAGTTATTCCATTTCAAAAGGGGAGATTTTGATTGGAGATGCGATTTTTGGATTTGCTCGTCTAGAAATCGGTTATGAATGGGCGTATTCTATTGAGATTCAACTAAATCCGATTAAAACTCATTGGAAAGGGGACTTATGGGTAAAAATGCTATTTCTACACTTTTATAGATTTTTAATAATTACTATATTGGTTGCTTATGATTGGGACAGAAGTTCTTGTTCTAAATCAGTTCTTACCAACCTTTGACAATGACAGTGAGCGTGGGGTGCGTGTCGTACTGGATCATCTTCTGTCGCGGGCCTTCGGCGCGCAGCTTGTACCGGCCGAGCGCGCGCTTGTGAGCGAGGCGGGCCGTGTAGGCGCGCTGGTGCGCCGCCTCCCTGGCCGCGATGACCTCCACGTCGGCTGCCTGCTTCTCCTTCATACGCTGCGAGTGGCGCCAGCGCATTACCTCGCCGGCCCGTTTCTGAGGTAGATCAATAACATAGCATGTTTAAATAGGATTTAGCTGTGAATTTATATGACCATTGCAAAGGCAACCATCTTTGAAATAAATTTGTACCAGCGCCACGAAGCGATTTTCGCGCTACGAAGGACACATTTGGAGCAATGGTCGAGTATTTACCTATGAAGAAAAAATAAAGTATGAAATAACATAGAATTGAAACTTACCTCCGAGCTGACTTCTAGAACTTGGTCCCCAGCAGAGGGCAGCTCTCTCCAGCCGAGCACTGACACGGGAGTTGAGGGAGGTGCTTCTTGTACTGCTCTACCTTCTGCTGAATTCAATACTCGCACCTATTTACATATACAAATTTTATTAAACAAATACCATATTTAGATTAAAGTAAATATGAAAAAATGGAAAAAGGTACTTTGGAAATTCAACAATAAAAAGCATGTATTGAAAAAAGATCGTTGATAAATAAAAAGCTGCTTTCCAAAGGTCTTCTTACCTTAGCCCATCCTGTGCCCGCTACGATGATACTCCCTCGTCGTAACGTTCCTCGTTGTACTAATACTGTTGCTTGTTTGCTAAAAGAGAGAAGGTATGAAATATGAAAAAAAAAGTTTCTCCGTCCAGCATATTGACACTTTTGCAATAGATGCACGAGAACTATAGAAAAACCTTAAAAAATCTACATTTTCGCTTGGTTGCGCATGTTGCGCTAAAAGATATCACGATTGCGCTAAGTTTTGCGCAAACTAGCACTGGCGAAATCTTTTTGCAAAGAGAGACGACACTTTCTAGGTTTACTTTATTTATTGCGTAGCGATAAATTGTAGATATTTATTATATGAAATGTCTCTCGAACCACTCCATATAAATCAAACACAATAAAGTATTACGCTTACCCAGTCCTCGGATCCAGCTGAGCTTCAATGACGACACCTTCAACGTAACCGCCAGGATCCGCCTTCAGTTCCATGAGCTGAGCTTGTAGCGTCAGTGCTTCTACCAACGTGTCTAGGTTCTGTTTCTTAAGCGCTGATACTGGTATCGCTTGGATATCACCGCCTAACGCTTCGCAAACTATGCCTTGTGTGGCTAAGGCGCGCATTGTTCGGTCCTGAAGGGAGTTTACATGCTTGCTTATTTATTGTTTTAATCCAATTTCGTGGGTATGAGGATTTCCACGAGTAGAAATAACATTATCATTTAAAAATAATAAAAGAATTAATCTACTTTTTTCTTAAAGATTTTATCAAAATATGAAAGTAAAAAAACTAATTGACAGTTTATTTGAATTTTTTAAACTATAAAATAATTGAATATGTAATGAAAATAGGAGAATATTAGAACATAGGTATTATGTAACAAAGATAGAGGCATACCTACAATGTTCACACCTGGCTTGTCGATTTTGTTGATCGCCACCAGTATTGGTACTGTAACGAAAACATAATATTGTAAAATAAAGTAAATTACACTTACGTAATTTAATCAGCTGTAATTTAACTGTTGGATACCTTTATAGGTACTTGGTTATCCAAGTTAATATTATTTATCATTAATATGGTGAAATGATTTGTTAAACGATTTTCAATTCTATAACAAAAGCAATATGACTGAAAATAGATTAACCATCTCAATCACTTTAATGAATTTAGATAAGTTGTTATTCAATCTATTTTTAATAAACCTCACTCACCATTAGCCTCCCTGGCCATCCTGATAGACTCGACAGTCTGCTCCATGACTCCATCATCGGCCGCCACAACAAGTACGACGATGTCAGTCGCGTGCGCACCGCGCGACCGCATCGCAGTGAACGCGGCGTGACCCGGCGTGTCTAGGAATGTTACTTTCTCACCTGATGCTAGTTGTACTGAGGAGAAGGAAGAAAATGTTTTGGGATATATTTTTTAAATTTATGTTTGATACATACTAAACATGTAGGTTCATTTTTTTTACTTCCAATTTATTATGAAAATATTATTTATATTGCTAGCTTCTGACAGCGGCTTCATCTGCGATTCTATGCTATAATATAATCTATCACTACTGTACTAAATTTTGATTTATTTAGATTTTAGACCAGTGATCTTCGGGCTTGGGTGTTTTAGAACCCCATCTAAGAGGTTTATATCCAGTAGTGAAATTCGACATAGTGAAGACAATAATCACTACATAGTATAAAACAAAGTCGCTATCCGCCGTCTGTCTGTTCATATGTATGCTTAGGTCTTTAAAACTACGCAGCGAATTTTGATGCGTTTTTTTAATAGATAAGAGTGATTTTTAAGAAAGGTTTATATGTATAATACATACATATTGCACCCGTGTGATGCCAGGGCGGGTAGTGACCCGCCGAAGAGAGAAACTAGTGAGTTTCATTTGTTTTTACTCTACACTACACTCTTGGTTCGTGCCCTTGTCATACAATAGTTTCATTTATAAAATACATACCTTCAAAAGCTCCTATATGCTGTGTAATCCCGCCAAACTCTTGATCGACTACAGATGTGTCTCTGAGAGCATCCAGCAGTGTAGTCTTGCCGTGGTCGACGTGCCCCATGACACAGACCACGGGTGGCCGTGGTCGGAGTGCTTCGGGGGGAGCCGGCGGCGCTGGTACTGCATCTTTATTCTACAATAGTAATTTAATAAATTGCTGATGAAAACTTGTTTCATTCTGATATTTTAATGGGTTAAATAGTTTGAGTCCACTTCGACATTACAAAGGCGTAAAAGAGGCGGCTAATAACAAATTATTCCTTTGCACATCATATTCCAATACATCATATAATAACTAGATAATTATTTGTTTAGTAAATTTGTTGTTTAGCAGTAATAACAGAGTAGCTTTTTATATAACAGTGGCACCTTTTGAATTGATCGTTATAGACATTTTGTAATAGTACAGAAAACCTACAAATGCATTGTAATAAAAATTTTTCACTTTTAATTAGTATTAGCCCAAAGAAGAAACAAATCGAATCAAGTTGGTGCAAACCTCTTCTTCATCCAACTCCTGTTCTGGCTTAGGCACAATCTTGAACCTACAGCCAGATATCTTGACCACATCTCTAATTATCTGTGGGTTGTGTATCACAGTATCCTTTGTATATGCTACTTCAGAGTTCTTGTCAGCAAAGTCTAAGGCTTTTAGTACATGATCTGAAATACAAGAGGTTGGTTACCATTAGTTTTCACTTTATGATCTATTTTAATTATTGGTAGGCGCTATCTTTGAAAAATGATGTCGACCAAATGGGAGATATATCCTCCATAGAAAATATTTGTAAAAAGATACAGGTAAAAGGCTAGGTATTTGTCTCTGTTTGTAAAATCATGTAAGTTTATAACATACATATGGACTCCTATACACGGTGTAAACGCGGCGGAACACTCTCGGCCACCACCGACGCCAACGGGTGATGGCAAACAAGTTTAATTTTCTTTAAAGGTAGGAATTGAATGTTTCTTTTATGGTATCATTGTAATCAACTGCTCAATGCTGGTGTTGTTTAATAACACGAAACCAGAAACGATTTATTTATATGACGACTTTGGCAAATAAGCACATGGCCCACCTTTTGGTAAGCGGTTACCGTGGGCTATGTAGAGTTCCATTTACACCCTGAATAAGATGTCTGAAACATTATTTCAGGATAAAAAGTACTATCTAATTTAAATAAAACTAATGTTCTGCAAATGTTATTGACTATTTTAATAAGGAGTAAATAGTAAGGAGCTTATAATGTTACAAATATGCTACAGAGACCCCAGATTATTAATTACTCACCCACATCCTTATGAAGTACATTGGCAATTTCTTGGACAGTCATGTTCCTCCATATGCCAATAACTTCAGCACCTTTTGGGGAATACCTGATTGACTGTCTGCCTTTACTCTCTGCTTCCTGTGAACATTAAAAAAGAAACTAATTTTTGAGGATGTGGATACAAAAAATTATTAAACTGTGAAACACCGAGCGGTCGGCGGTCACCGCTGACCGCAACCTATTGTTCTATAATTGTGTCTACAAAACTGGTACTCGACGAGTTAATTGTGTCTATAATGACGATACTCAACGAGTTAATAACAATTCATAAATAAAGTTATGTTGACTATAATATAATGTTGATGTTGCCATACTTGTTATAAGGCAATAGATTTAAGAAATTATTGTCGACTTATTGTTTAAACAATAAGTTTAGCACTAACATAATAATTTAGTAATCCAGTTATTCTACAAACCTTCTCTTCAGGCGATCTCCTTTTCTTACAGCAAACATATGATATGGAAAGCTGTCTAGCCCATTGGTGACTATTATTCAATGGAACCTTTTGGATTCCATACACTTGGGAAACAAATTCATGTTTAATTAAATTTAATGGCAACCTGAAAAGAAAGATTGTTTCAAATATTTCGCCGGTATTTTGATTACAAACAAATATAGATTGTGTAACACAAGTTATCGTAAATTACATCAGTCAAGTCCTACTTTCAATCTCTTTCGGCAGACGATATTAATAATAAAAGTTTTAATAACTTTCAAACGTAAAAGAAAGTAGCTCGTCTTACCTTCTAAATAGGAAACTTTTGTACATTTTTCCTGTTATAAATCGCTGGACTTAATTCATGAAACAATCGATTGAATAGTTTCAAGTTATCAAAAAGGTTATGTCATAAAATTTCAAGGTTATGAAGAGGTAGTCTTATATGGCATGTAAACTACAACGAGTGCAGATTTTGTACAACTTTCATATTTATCATTGTAGCTACAACTAATAAAAATAATTAATAAAAATTATAAAACAACATAACCTCCACATGAGACGGCTTTGACAGATTTATCTATATGACATTTATGACATTATGACTGATGACATACGTCCGTGGACAGGAAATAGAACGTTTCGTTCATTCATCTTGGAAGTTGGAATAGCTGCCATGAATTTTCTTTCATACATACGTGATAGGTCGATGTTTCTTTTTTTATCTTATTTTATTTACGGTTGGAGTATTTTCATCAAGCGTACATATCATTTCCAACAAGATCATTTCGGTCTGAAAAATTGTAACTAAAAGTCATGTGGTTGGTAATTATAAAATATTAATTATTTGCGCTTTTGAGATTTACATTAAAAAGTAAAACTAGGCTTTTACATGGAAATAACTAACATTATGATATGCCCCTTGTAGGGTAAGAGTTTTTCGTGGGCATTCGGTTATTATAATATGTGTTTCAATAAATAAATTCAAATAAGTTTCAATATGATCGTTATGTTTTATAACAACGTTGTCCATAAACAATTTCCGATAAACTCGCATAAAAAAGTAAATCATAGACAATTACTATTTATGTCCGCCATTCATTCTTTTGAGTTGCTTTTTCGTTTTACGATTCCCGAGAGCACGATTTGTCAATTGTCATCGAGATCTACGCAACACCATCGCGTAATTAATTAACCTACGTAAAAGCAGTTGAAACAATAAACTCCACGCGTTTAGGCATCACAGCCACCAGTGTAGTGTATCAGCCATCTGACGTGATCATACCGTGAGATTGTATCTACCAGTGATGCTTTTGCCTGCCTTTTACGTTATCGGTTGCGACGTGAGTTCGAGTGCCTGATGGTGTGGAAACTATGTGCGATTAACTTAATAGTAAAAGAGGACTCAGTATGGGGGCGTTTTTGAATAAGCCCGAGACTAAGAAATACAACGAGACCGGGGAAGGAAATGGTCTTCGCTATGGCGTGGCGTCGATGCAGGGTTGGCGCGTTGAGATGGAGGATGCGCATCACGCGCAGCTGACTCTGAATGGTACTCTATCGGACTGGTCTTATTTCGCGGTGTTTGACGGACATGCAGGGGCACGGGTGTCTGCGCATTGCGCGGACAATCTCCTCGAATGTATCCTTCAGACGGACGAGTTCCGGCGCGAGGATATAGCCGAGGCGATTCGCGCGGGCTTCCTGGACTTGGACAAGAAGATGCGGGAGCTACCGGAGCTGTCCAATGGCGAGGAGAAGTCTGGCTCAACGGCCGTGTGTGCGTTTGTGTCCCCCAAGCAGATATACATAGCGAACTGCGGCGACTCCCGCGCAGTGCTCGCTCGCAACGGTGTGCCGATCTTCGCGACACGAGACCACAAGCCGGAGTTACCGTCGGAGAAGTCGCGTATTGTTCAGGCTGGTGGTTCAGTCATGATACAGCGTGTCAATGGGAGCTTAGCTGTGTCTAGGGCACTAGGCGACTATGAGTACAAGAAGGTGGTGAACCGTGGCCCGTGTGAGCAGCTTGTGTCTCCTGAGCCTGAGGTTTCTGTTCATGAGCGGAATGAGGTTGAGGATGAGTTCTTGGTGCTGGCCTGCGATGGTGTGTGGGATGTGATGAGCAACGAGGCGCTGTGTGCATACATACACTCGCTGCTTCAGCTGACGGATGACCTTGTGGCTGTGACCAACCAGGTCATTGACACCTGCCTGTATAAGGTATGTACAACTCTGGTAAAGCTGGCTATTATTTCAACATGCTATTTATAAAACACATCTTTTGAATGAATATTAATAGATTGTAGGTACCTGTTATGAAAATAAAGTAGGTGATCACTTCTTGTATGGAGTTTTAAATGTTTCAATTGTTTCAAATCTTCACAAAATTAATAATATTTTAATAATTTGTATTAATATTAACTAATTAGTTAACATACCTAACTAATCTGATACTAAAATAATACATGATTTTAAAATTCCTATTACACAGGTAAATCAGGAACATTCTTTGTAGTTCAATAAATGCTTCATATTAACCTACTAACAAACATATTATTACTATCTGGGTTTTATAAGTTTCCATGAACTTATCATTAAAATTCAGTTTTAGATTAACACAGTATCATTGTAAATCAATTAATTTTTAGTTTACCTACAGGAGGTATGACTCATTTTTATAATGAATGGCCTCACAGTAAACAAACTGTTTTTACTAATCTAATGAAGTCTTAATATAAAGAAACTATCTAATAAGGTTATAATCATAATATTTTACAATTAAAAATTATTTGAAGTTGTAACCTCAAATTGTTGATGAATAGGTACATAATATCACTGACATTACCCATAGACCAAAAAGGTTTTCTTTTTTCCATAGGCTTTGTCTTAGCTGGGGGTCTGGAATATTTTTTTAATCATTCATTGAATTATTCTCTGTTTACAACCATGGAGATAGAAAACATACTAATTATGTTGTTATGATACACATTTGATACTCTATTAGTTTGTTTATTGAACTGTTTTGGTACTACTTAAATTGGTACCTTTATCATGAAATAAGTAGTACAATAAAGCCTTTAGGTTGTTTTGTATTTTTCATATATTCAACAATAGAAATAATTGAAAACTGTCTTCTATTTTGGTGAAATATTATATTCAGTTAACAATTACTGTAAACATGTTATTACATTGTTCCTTATATTTTTCAGTAGGTAAAATCCCCACATAAGGAAGTAATTGATAGCTCCCTAAAATGTCAAGTTTTCCTTATTTCAATATTCCTGCATGAGAAATGTACAGTTTCTTCATCAGCATAGGCTGGCCATAAAACATTGTAGTAGTGCCAAGTCCATATTATTTTTATTTAATCATCATACATTATTACTTACTACTGTTGATCCATTGTATGATATCTACTTACAAAGTTGTATATTGTTCATTGTTTTTCCAAATGATTATTATAAAAGATTATGTCATCACTATGCAACAGTTAAGTAAGGAAAACTGATGAAAGTATCTTAGGTAACTAGGTAGGTCATGATAACCTAGATTGAAGTCTTCAATGCTTTGGGACAAGGCCTTTATGGTATAGAAGTTTGCTTTAGTCATTTTTTATGTATTTTTAGAGTTATAAAGAGTTTACACACCTAAACATGAGTAGGTTTGTTATTTATTTATTTTAATATAACACTACAAATACCAATTATACACTACTTAATACACATACATTTTGTAGGGATGAGAGAAATGAAAAGAAAAGAAAATACAAAATTTTCGTTCTTAATTATAATTAGTTAATGTTAGTTATAATTAGTTATGTATTTCATAGTGCACACACACATTTTACATAATAAGTAAGATTGAAATAAAAATTTCTTTTGTCGCGTGGGCGTGATTCACACCGAGACCTAGAACATGTATACATCCACCATTCTCATTGTTGCATCATATTTACAGGGCAGCAAAGACAACATGAGCATCGTGCTGGTGGTGTTCCCCTCAGCGCCGAAGCCGAACGCCGAGGCTCAGCGTGCTGACCGCGAGCTGGACGAGACACTCCGACAGAGGCTCACAGGTTGCTATCATTCACTACTGCATGCCTGCTCACACAAACACAGAGACCGACAGAGAACTGACAATATTGACAGACAGAATGGGTGTAGGAAGGAATCTAGCGATGCTAGGGCGTAAGCACTTAGTTAGGTTAGCGACAGCGCGGACTTGAGTACTTCACAAATCCTATTTAATATACATAGTATCTCAGTACATTGCCTTGTATTTAAAAGTTGTTTGAGTAACTCGGTGAAGCTCCACAAGTTTAATTGCGACAAAATCAAATTAGACAAGCCAATAACATATCCTTTATTACATTCTCTTGACTCATTTCCGCGCTGTTGCATTTTAAACTACATTACGTAGGTACGGTCGAATGACGGTGCATCGTGCACCTACTCTGTGCTAAAAAGGGCCTTATTGACAATTTGGTATAAATTCTAGACGAGAAGTTGACAATTTTGAAAGAAAATTAGAAATAGGACTTTACTCAATTGGTATTTTTACATTTTTATCGATATTTAATTGGAAATTTATTTTACGTATTTATTGCCATATTTGCTGAAATAAGTCGATTGTTTTGGCGGAATTTTTCATCATTAGTACAATTTATTAGTACAAATTGGTCATTTCTTATTAAGTCTACTTTAGGGTATAACTTGATGTTTTACATTAAATTGTTAATTGAAGACAGCACAAATATTGTGTGCGAAAAAAAGACAATGTTTAGACTGCATATTTGAAAAAAGACCAGAAATTAATACTTCCACAAATAATACAAAACTGCTTGCACTACGTAGCGATATTGCGTAAACATCTTTACATAATGTACTGCATTCTTGCCACTGGAATTAAATCTCGCCCTGAGCCGTAGAATAGGAATAACCTTCGAATACTTAGCCGTGCCATCTTCGAGCTACATAAATAATACATTGTTTTACTACACCAGTAATCAATATGTACTATCTTCTTATATCTAAGGCCATGTGAACAGCGACCATGGTGCCATTACTTATTTAATTCCTAGCTTACAAAGGTCAATGCTTTTTATAGACATCTTTTTCATGTTACTTGCCATTTAGATCTTATATTGATTAATAATAATATGGAAAAGACATCTGTTTTTGAACCGTACTCAAGAATATGTGTTTTTCTTTAAAGTAGCAAAGCCAATGAAAGATTGGGATAAAGTTTTCCTCATAATATTCAGTGATGTGTAAAATATATTTAAGGAAGGATGTTCGATCATTTAAAGATCTATTAACGAATATTTTAATCATTAAGTACTAACACTTGTGCACATAATATTCAAGGGCACATTAACCGAGAAACGGCACCGAATTGATTATATTTCTTCATATTATATTGTTAAATAATATTCGCCGCCATTCGTATTAACGCATGCTAAAATAACCCATTGTTTTCTCCGTAAGTGTATTTGTTACATTGCCATTATTACCACCGCTAGAGATTTTCGAATATCTACTTAATTATAAGGTAGCTACAGTCTATAATGACTGCTGCGAATTCTTTTGCCAACCATAATATTACGGATGAACGTGTCGCTAAGTAAGTTTACTGATAGTTAAAAATACATCAGATTTTTCCGCGAAATATGAAAAATACCTAAGATTGAATCGTGTCATTATGATACATACCCTTAACATCTCGCGAATCAGACGTTTGACTTACAGCTTGTAAGAATTTTTACAAGATTAACTTCGCAGTAAAATACGAAGTTAATAAGAATACAAGAATAGGTAATTATCAGGTTAGTTAAGTCATATTACCAATACGTATCTATACAAGTAATGGTATGAAGTTGGTAGATTGTTATCACAGCTATGATATCACAATCATAGTGTTTACTATCAGAAAGATGACATCACTTATTTAGGTTACGCGCACACTACGACCGATTATGCGCAGTAATCACTGAATGATGTTATGAAAATAATTTATCTTACAACTTCTGTATTCTACTCTTATATCGGGAAAATTTTCATAACATAACATGACTGGTTTCTCTCTGAATGTACAGTTATGCAATTAAAAAGTCTTTTAGTATTAGACGTCAATGTCATTGTTAAAAGTGAAATAAACCTGGAATTTGCTCATAGAAGTCTTACAACGAAATCAACAATGACATTGTCATCCGGGATTATTTTCCAAATGACTCAAAATGATGATCAAATACGAATGATGATGTATGGAGGGGTAATTGAGTAGTTAAGTCATTAAATCATTGGTTTATTTTGAGCCGTGTTTGTCGACTGAGTGTGTTGTTGTGGCCACACATAGACGTTATACCCGCACGTGTGTAGCTCCTAACACGTTTAGATTTCCATTTCAACCGCAAATTGCAGCTACACATCTTTTCTATTCTGTTCCATGTTGTGAACGCACCTTTATATAGTTTTTTTTTGTGATGCAGAAGATTCATACATAGTACAAAAATAATGTTCCCCAAAAAAGCACAAAGTCTATTTTTCCTCAATGATATAATGAATCCATTTTTATACGATTCCTCTAAATAACAGTTCATTAATTGCTGGTCACTACTATTACAATACTCTGATTTATTCTATTTATCGAATAAAACTTGATTAAGGACCTCGCAATATTTCGTACACGTTGTTTCTTCAACAGTTATAGTATTCAGATTATTGTTTCAAATTGGCACGCACCACATAAGTCGTTCATAGTACATGATGATTATTGTAAATTATGATTCCATAGTTCCTACGTCGCCGTCGATTAGATTGCCAAAGCCATAGCTTCCATGTTATTATGTGAGCATCACGAGCGGAATAATAATGAGCCATTATTGTTATCAATACAAACAATAAAATCTAGGTAACTTGCGTCCACAAGTCTCCTGTTAATAAAATACTAAGACACATAAAATTTTATGTAAAGTCTGTTTGAAAATTGCGTGTTTTTCGATGGTTTCAATGTGATTGATTACTTTATTTTCCCTTTAGTTCGATACAAGGAAAATGTTTCCGCACATTACAGACATTTTTGGCTATTTTCATGTCATTATCGCACTGAGATAATGCGATGTAACTATCATTCGTTGACTCATACTAAAGTCACTTCTTAATATAGAGGAAAGTAACGCTTGAGGAAAAATTCTTTAAGGCAACGTCCACGTGGATGGAGTCGTCATCGCCTTGGTGTTGTTTCAAAATAACTCGGTTTTATTAGTAAGCAAAACTCTAGTTGCTAGTCTGAAAATTTGAAATATACCAGTGTTGGTAATCCTCCCACCTATTGAAGGAATATTAATAAACTTTGTATTGGTAAACAGTTATCCTGTCCAGACAGTACTGTCTATGACACGTGCCATCTATGACGACACTGAAATAAATAATGAGCAATATAAGTACGAGTGCATGCACGCATGCATCTTCTGCATAATAAATAATAGATCTACTTTTAATTGTAGAATGGATTGTTCGATTTTTGAATGTTTTTTTTCTTGCTAGCCTAGGTTCGTGTGACAACGACAAATCATTAAACCTTTTTCGATAACACCTCTTGCATGAGCTTAGAGTTTGATATTATACATTCTATAGAGTATCTAAGGATGTCCTCATTTTTTCAGGATATTTACAAATCCTCAAGCCTGACCTCAATGTAATTATTACTATCCTGCTAGTAATAGTTCACTTCCTATACCGATTTTATTATAATTAAGTAGTTGAAATATTCTTGCCATTATTATTTTTTTTATTTAGAACTAGCTAACGTATTACAGGTATTACTCTATTGTACCTATTTTAAAAATAAGTTTCATTATTTAGAGGTACGAAATGTAGTTTTCGTCACATAAGACATTATTCCGTTGTATTTTATTATTATTTAGTAAAGTCAGTCACGTGTAGAAACCTAAGTTTAAGTATACAATACACGTAGTGATTAAAAAGCGATTTTCTATCAGAGTATAGATTGAGATCGAGTCATTCGTATATTTAACTGTTGTACTTTGTCATGTTTTATTGAAAAAAAAAATACTTGACAAGGAAATCGTTTTTGTAGTAAGTGACGATACATGTCACCTAGTAAAATAAATTTATTATTATTATCAACAATAGTAGCCATATTGAACGCCTATCTTTACTGCGATAAATGTTACCAGTTTATTTCTTTATTTATTACACAAAGTGTTTATAGTTTTTTGTTGTTTTACTAGAGTATTTATTGTTTATTTATTTATTAGATGATCTATGTTATTTTGTGTCAATACTCACAGATGCCTCGCATCGGCTATGAAGGCTTTTCAAATGACTTTTTGAAAATGTTTTGTCAATTTTTATTTGGCAACCCTGCAGCAATATTAATTTTTCTATCTCACTTTTAAAAGAGTTCTGTAACTTAAGTGTTTCTTCACCATAGCACCTAATATAATAAAAGTGCAATAAGTAAAATCCAATGCTTATATTTCAATCTATTAATCTGTTCTTCCTTGGACAATGGCGTCTTCCTATATTGGACAATTTTAAAGTATTTTTTAACACATAATGAAATGTGTTAGTTTTGAAAAGTCTTCGAATTAAGCTTAGCTTATAAGTATTTTCCGTTGTACAAACTTTAACTACAATGTACTTAATCGAATTTGTGATTTCTTTCTTTGTAAAAAAATCTAACATTTGTGATATTAACGTTTTAATCTTTAAAAAGTATAATACTATAACTTTTTACAATATCTAATTAATCCTTTTACAAAATTTTTACTAACTTTGTATTGTGAGACTAAAAAAAAATCGCGCTGAAAATTATTATATTGTCTAAAAATTTGTTACCCTGTTTTCTAATATTAAAGTATTTTTCAAAATATAAATGTTTAGTTTCATTGCTTTAGTCCTGACCCTGTTCATTTCATTGCATTGAAGAATCTCATAAAGAATTTTTTTTGTAATAATAAGAATAAAATATTTTTGCTAGAAGGGTTAAAGCAATGAACTACGTGCGTTTGGAATGGCGGCGGTGGCGTGTGTGACGAGTGCAGTGAAAGACACTCGGTTTATAAGACTGGAAGCCATAATAGTACAGTTGTAATCTTGTTGCTCTTGTCTCTTATCGATTATGTAGTGCATGTGCCGTAAATGTTCATGTAATTTATAATTGGGCTCTGAATGACGAGATTGTGAGCGATAAACTCGACACTCGTGACAAATAACACCGTTACTGCAAGGAAAGTGGCTCTATTCTATATATCTAAAGTCATTCTGATCTGATGTAATTGTTGTTATAAGTAGAGTAACACTAATTCTTCTATAAACTATGTTTAGAAACAGACTACGAACTCCTCTTTTAAGAATTCGGTTAAATAATGATACATTAAAACGTTCTCCTAAGACAAGTATAAGTAACTGCTGATACGGAGCCGCGGAGAACCTAGCGGGTTACCGGGGCTCCGGCTCTAAGTGCTGGAGTAGGAACGGGGTTGTTTTTGTCAGTAAGAGTCTGACACTGATGATGTTCCCCCCCTTAAAAAAAAGACAAGTGTAACAAATACTTATCTGAATACTGCACCAAAATCGGTTCAGAAAATCGCGAGATAATCACGCACATACATAAGATCAAACTGAGAACCTCCTTTTTTAAAGTCGGTTAAAAATGTGCAGTGTTTCATAGAGCTGTTGGTAATTACTAGTTTTATCAAAAATGTTTTATCCGATAATGTCTTAGAAAGTAGTAATTATGATAGTTTCGTTGATGAATGGCTACTGAACATTTCTTTTTAATTTTCCTCCATAAGTTAAAATTGAGTCATCATCTCACAATAATAATAAGTACCAGGTCACATGTCTCCTAGCTTGTCAATACATAGACTTATAGAGATGAATGAAGGCGACACGACCTCTATTTACATACAAGGGTAAATAAATATAATCGCTACTGATTTACTTCGCGCAATACATGCTATTTTACAATCGGGAAATGATGTTATTGAAATTGACAACTAACATGTTGGGATAAACAATTTAACTCCCAGTTTTAGGTAGATTGTAATTGTTATTTCATTAGGTACGCAAGAGTTTTAAGTTACACATAAATCAATACTTTTTTTAGATATAACATGGTAAGCAATCTCATATTATTTAAAAAAGTAATTAATCAAAACGTAGGCTTTTGTATCTATACCAAAATTAAATTCAACTTGTATAGTAATAGGGTCTGTTTTAGTATACATAGCAGGCCGAAATTATAGCGTTATGCAGCTCTATTGATTGAGTTGCATTTGACGCATAGCAAATAAAAGATAACTACAGATACAAATACAGCTGTAAATTGGCACTAACATACATAAAAAAAATTCAACTGTAATTATATGATCATAAAGTATCTTTTCCTCCACTTAGTTAGCGTTCAAAAGCCTTTCTTTCAACTCGCGTCAAGTCGACAGAATGGCATAACTTCTTAGTAACCTATTGCCAGATTTTGGAGTTTCTGCTACTACAAATGAGATTAACATAATATTCTCCCCAAGATAATCGCCTTGAGTTCTTCAGAATACCCATATGTTCTACATAATATTCTCCCCAAGATAATCGCCTTGAGTTCTTCAGAATACCCATATGTTCTTTTGATTTGCTCACCATGAGATACAATAATAATACACGGTGTCTTACTAAGATCTGTTACCGAAGACTATGAATAATACCGACCGATATCTGAAAGCATAGCTTACCCATTAACAGATATACTGTCCTGTCACTAGGTAAAGAACTGATGTTCTACATATAGTTTTCTGAAGCAGTATCCTTGACACTGACCTTTCAAGTCAAGGCCTGTTGTCAACGTCGAAATGTACCGTGAAATGTGTCTGCAATACATCGCGTGTTCTTACCCTATATCCCCCAAACCCCAAACATACGTTGGAAATAAAATGGCAGCGTTTTACCATACCGGGTACCACTAGTTTCATCATAAACTACCGTGGTTGCGATGTCTCCTGTCATTGCAGGAAAATAGCAAAGCATTCTTGTAAAGTTTTATTTTGATTGTTTTTGATTCCATTCTGGGCTGTCTCTGTTATTTTGAGATATGAAAATGGCCGATACAATGGCAAAAACTTTTAATATGAATGTCACTCTTACAGTAACGATGCTTCCTTATTTCGGTGTTTCCCGACTACTACTACTTTTATTGTCCGTTAGGTTTTTAACCTTTTTGCTATTTAAATAAAGTCCAAAATGTATTACAGTTTGAATAGCTGAACCGATTTGGCTAATTTTGGTCTTGATATGTACGTGGAAATCCAGAGAAGGTTTATATAGTAGGAAAATACCGGGTCAGCTAGTCTTAAATTTTTTTTGGACCATTTGGGATACCTTGGTATGCTGGGTTATCTGTACTGTAAGTACAATATTCGTCGTAATTACTTCTAATAAAAACTAAGAAGCTACAAAATCATACAATTAATTTATTATCTTATACAAATATGGGCCAGTCAGTAACCCAATTGTTAATCAGGGGTCAGAAACAGTCTAGCCAACTCGTGGCGAATCTAGCTTATTTATATTGTGACTGATTAATAACATGAGTTTAATGTTAGGTCGAGCCAATGTCAGCAGTCGCTGATATAACTGCGTATCTACTTGATTTATAACACTAGATTATTTATCAATTTACTTTTTACAACTATCTCTTGTCCTGCGACTTTGATCGTCTCCTGCAGGAATATCGAAATAAAAAGATACATAGGTTATTTTTGCTATTGAAATTCTAATGAGAGATATTTTCAATAAATCGATTCTGTAGTTTCTGGGCCTATTCAGTATTTAATGTAAACAAAACAATGTTTCCTCTTAGTATATATGAACCTAAAGTATGTATAAATAATCGACCCATATTTATAAATGAAACACAATTATGTTAATCACACTAATATTATAAACGTATAAGTTTCTTTGTTTAGATATTCGTCTGTTAATCACGCTGAAACTACTGAACGGATTTTGATGAAATTTGGTATACAAGTAGGGTATGGGCTGACTTAGGTGATAGCACAGACATTTATCCCGATTAAATGCTCCTGTGGGATACAACAGGAATCATATTCTACGCGGACGAAATCGCGGGCAACAGCTAGTGAGAAATAAATATAATTTACTAGCTGTTACCCGCGACTTCGTCCGCGTGAAATAGCGACTTCTGTATAAATTGGGTTTTTAAATTAGTCTTTGTCAAGGTATTAGGTTATATTTATTGAGAAATGAATTTATTTTCGTGGTTTCTAAAATAAACAATCCCATAGAGGTTTTACCCGTACAGTGCCCGTCTCGTGAGGTTTCACTATTCTATGTTTGCAAATCAATGTTGTATCGCATTT